ACACACACACACACACTCACTCACTCACTCACACACACTCATTCACTCACACACACACACACACTCACTCACTCACTCACTCTCACACACACACACACACACTCCCCCACACACACACTCACACCCTCACACACACACACACACACACACACACGCGCACGCTCACACACACACGCACGCTCACACACACACGCACGCTCACACACACACGCACGCTCACACACACGCACGCTCCCACACACACACGCTCCCACGCACACACACACACGCACGCTCCCAAACACACACACACACACACACGCAGTTATGGAGTGTGTGAGGTGAAGCGTGAGGTTTCGGCTGATTCTGATCCCAGAGGAGGAAAAAGGTGAGAAGATTGCGAGGGCATGCTCCACACGGAATTTCCTTTCAAGATATCTGCTTTACATGCTCATCTGTAGTTACTTTAAGCTATTTTAAAAATATTTTTATTACCTTATATGTCCAAAACAAATTTTTCACACACACACAAAAAAAACATTTTTTAACACCTTGTTGCAAGATTTGACAAAAATCCAGATAGAATATATTTGGTGAGAATCATGTTATAAAAGATGAAGTGCTATGCTGCAGGCTATTAAAGACAGTATCGGCGGATTAGACGGAAATGCTGAGCTAAAGCGCTAAATGTGTGTCCTCTCTCTCTCTCTTCAGCGTTCACACATCTCTGACCTCAAACACATCAAATATTACTCTTTTTAGACATAGTTTAGTAAAGAGTAGAGAAAACACTATACAGAACTTACTGAAACAACCAGGGGCCAGATGCATAAACTTAGCCACCGTGTTAAGACTGTGTGTCAAGAACTAGTTTGATCAACTAGCAGTTACCCAGATCTTACTCTTCCCATACAAACAAGACCAATCTACCTTTTCATAACTCAATTAAAAAAGCTATGACCAGTCTTGAAGAAAACACATGAGATGACTAACTTTTTAAGACTAGTCTAAACCGTTTATGCACCCGGCCCCAGAGTTCTTTATTACTCTTGTAAGACCCCCCCCTAAAAACACTTCTCACTGGATCTGAGCAAATCTCACTGGTGACCTATTTTCATCTGAAATAAGTGAGTTGTCACTGAAAGCTGAGGAGTTTGCTACTGTGTGATCCTCACCAGCTTCAGGTACAGCTCCGTGTCCTTCTCCTTGAGTTTGGAGAAGACGCTCTCCATCTTGAAGGTGATGCCGCACTGAGAGTCGTCCAGGCTTTTGATGAAGTTATCTCTGTTCTCGGACATCAGGCTGGTGAAGCAGAAGAACGTGTCAGCCTCCGCATGCTCTACAGACAGAAGAACAGCGTTTAATGCACAACTAATCGATAGAATACATAAGAAAACACCATTGCATATCATTATTGATCAGATCTTTGAGCTGAGATTTTGACTGAGCGATCGTGCTGGTTTCCACCGCTGAAAACAAATTAAAAAAAGGTAATTGTGACTTTTTCTCCCACAATTCTTTTCTCAGAGTTTTAAAGTCAGAATTACGAGATATAGGAGAACTGGCGCCCGACTGAGCCTGGTTTCTCCCATTCTGTCACTGATGGAGTTTTGATTCCTTGCCGCTGTCAGTCTAACATCAGCGAGGCACAATGATGACACACGTACTCGTTCCCTTACAGGACGTCACTGTCACACTCTCTCACACACACACACACACACTCTCACAAACACACACACACACACACACACTCACACACACACACTCACACACACACACTCACACACACACACTCACACACACACACTCACACACACACACTCACACACACACACTCACACACACACACTCACACACACACACTCACACACACACACTCACACACACACACTCACACACACACACTCACACACACACACTCACACACACACACTCACACACACACACTCACACACACACACTCACACACACACACTCACACACACACACTCACACACACACACTCACACACACACACTCACACACACACACTCACACACACACACTCACACACACACACTCACACACACACACTCACACACACACACTCACACACACACACTCACACACACACACTCACACACACACACTCACACACACACACTCACACACACACACTCACACACACACACTCACACACACACACTCACACACACACACTCACACACACACACTCACACACACACACTCACACACACACACTCACACACACACACTCACACACACACACTCACACACACACACTCACACACACACACTCACACACACACACTCACACACACACACTCACACACACACACTCACACACACACACTCACACACACACACTCACACACACACACTCACACACACACACTCACACACACACACTCACACACACACACTCACACACACACACTCACACACACACACTCACACACACACACTCACACACACACACTCACACACACACACTCACACACACACACTCACACACACACACTCACACACACACACTCACACACACACACTCACACACACACACTCACACACACACACTCACACACACACACTCACACACACACACTCACACACACACACTCACACACACACACTCACACACACACACTCACACACACACACTCACACACACACACTCACACACACACACTCACACACACACACTCACACACACACACTCACACACACACACTCACACACACACACTCACACACACACACTCACACACACACACTCACACACACACACTCACACACACACACTCACACACACACACTCACACACACACACTCACACACACACACTCACACACACACACTCACACACACACACTCACACACACACACTCACACACACACACTCACACACACACACTCACACACACACACTCACACACACACACTCACACACACACACTCACACACACACACTCACACACACACACTCACACACACACACTCACACACACACACTCACACACACACACTCACACACACACACTCACACACACACACTCACACACACACACTCACACACACACACTCACACACACACACTCACACACACACACAGACACACACACACACACACACACACACAGACAGACACACACAGACACACACACAAACACACAGACAGCAGTCAAAGCCTCACCCTTCCACTGGCTGCTGGGGTCTGTGGCGAAGGTGTAGTAAATGGGACCCACGATCTCATTCATGCCCTGAACGTAAGCGATGCCTGGGTTGAGTTTAGCGTAGACGAAGAGAATCCGCTCGACCACTTCCCAGTGCGCTTCACAGCCGTTCGGTAACACCTCATACTCGTTAGAGGGATACAGGTTTAACGCCTTCCCCGGAGAACTCACCTGAACCACATCCAAAACATCAAACACATGGAAATCAACATCACACTCCTCAAGCTGCTCTAACGCCGTTAAAGGAACAGTTTTCACTGGAGGAAGAGTTATTATGGATTATAGACTCTATGTATTTGAGTTAAAAACATCTTAATGCTGGATTAGTTTCAGCTTTTGTCTTCTCCAGATGTTAACTGATGGACTGGAGTGCTGTGGATTATTGTGATGTTTTTATCAGCTGTTTGGACTCTCATTCTGACGGCACCCATTCACTGCAGAGCATCCATTGCTGAGACACTGATGCAGTGCTACATTTCTACAAACCTGATGAAGAAACAAACTCATCCTGATCTGGGATGAACTGAGAGACCTTTGTGGATGAACTATTCCTTTAACTAGCAGGGTCAGAGAAATCTACAGGACTGATCACACACACACACACACACACAAAGATCGCTCACCTGCGTCTGTCCATCGCAGCACTGCTCAGAGCAAACAGACAGGTCATCAAAAGCACACGTATATGCATGAATCAGAAACACACACACACACACACACCCACTCACGTTAGTGACGCCGCTGCGGTTCCGGTTCACCGTCTGGGCTTTGAGAGTCGTCTGCTCCACGCGTTTCCGTAACGTCTCGTACGCGTTCTCTGGGTCCAGGATGAGCTGGCAGGGGAAGTCTGTGGGCCGCTGGAAGAATGCCATGTCTGGGTACAGCCGTCTGATGGCAGACATTATATACACACACACACACACACACACACACACACACACACACACACACACACACACA